AATAAAAACATGTTGTTCTGTAGAGATTTAACTGACGCTGTTTTCAACCCATACAAAAACCAAAGTCACAGTTTTAGCCAATCAGAAGCTGCTTTTCATATTAGTGGCAAACAATAACAGTAACAACAGCTTTTTGACAAGTTTAAAGTTTCTTTAAAATACATTAAAAATATTAAAAAATAAACTACAAAATATAATTTAATAAAGTGCAAATTAAAATATAGCTGTATCTGCAACTGTATTTGATAATGTTTTTAACTTTTAAAATACTGCACGATAGAACCAGAAGCTGCTCTTCATATTAGTGACAAACTTTGGCCTTTTTTTATTTTGGCCTCCATATGTTTTTGCTTCTACCTTTCATTTAAAACAGGCTTCCATTCTCGGCAGGTATCTAAGGTTCTTGTTCTACATATTAAAAAGTTGTTGAACATCTGAGTGGCACACTACTGCTACTAGTGGTGAGAAAGTGTATTACACCTTATTCAAAATCAATGCGGCCCCACGACCCTCTGTGGCCCAAAGTTAAAAACTGTTGTTCTTTTGAGGCCCTCAAGGTGTCGCTTGTGGCCCATAGGTTAAGAATCTCTGTTCTAGAGCAGTGGCTCCCAAAGTTGGGGTCGGGACCCACAAGGGGGTCCCAAAACATCAAGTTGGGGTCTTGAAAAGATTTTCTGAATTAATTATATTTGAAAATAACAACTAACAACATTTTTTTACCTTTGTTTTTACAAAAAGAGTAAGGTTATTGTTCTTAAAATGGACAAAAATAGCGTAATGAATATTGGTACTATGCTCTTATTTTTTTGACGTGAAAATGTTTATGATCCAACATCAGTTGGGGGCTCAGGTCTCTGCTGCTGGTATTTTGAGGGTCAAAGACTGAAAGGTTTGGGAACCAATGCTCTAGAGGACACGAAGGGTAGAACAGAGAGAATGTTGAACTGAAGAGTGGGAGCAGAGAACCGAATATAAAGAGCAAAGGCTGAATGAGGGAAGCAGCTGGGCTGGTAGTGGCAACAGGTGAGGGTGACTGAACAGACAGGCAGGAAGCAGACTGAGGGAGAATAAAAACACAAAAGAAAGACACAAGAGGGAGACAGATACATCAGAGACAGACTATGGCTATGTTCACACTGCAGGTAAATGCGACCAATGTCAGATTTTTTAATGACAGTCTGAGAGCAACAAATCCGTTTTTTTTTTTCAAATCCAACCCAGGCCGTTTCATTAAATTGGATACATATCTGATGTTTTAAATCCAACCCAGGCCGTTTCATTAAATTGGATACATATCTGATGTTTTTCAAAGCGACTGTAGTGTGAACGCTCATGCCACATTCAACTTTTTCATCAGTGAGGTGGGGGTGAAGGATCGAAAAGACACTAACCTTGAGTCACGCTGTATAAATCTGTAGCTCCATGTGTTTACAGCTCCAAAACACAAAGTCCAGCTGCTTCATCTTTTTACTTTTAATTTTGCATGTAGATAATAACGTCCAGCTTTGGTCGTGGAGCGTCCACCCGTTCGTTTTCTTTCGCTTATCCATGGTCAGGTCTGGTGGGCAGCAGCCTAACCAGAGAGACCCAGACTTTCCTCTCTCCAACCACTTGGAACAGCTCCTCTGGGGGAATCCCAAGGTGTTCCCAGGCCAGCTGAGAAACATAGTCCCTCCAGCGTGTCCTGGATCTTCCCCTGGGTCTCCTCCCAGTAGGACGTGTCCAGAACACCTTACCAGGGAGGCGTCCAGGAGGCATCCTGACCAGATGAACCACCTCAACTGGCTCCTCTGGATGTGGAGGAGCAGCAGCTCTACTCTGAGTCCCTCCTGGATGACAGAGCTTCTCACCCTATCTCTAAGGGAGAGCCCAGACACCCTGCAGAGGAAACTCATTTCGGCCGTTTGTATCTGCTATCTCATTCTTTCGGTCACTACCCAAAGCTCGTGACCATAGATGAGGGTAGGAACGTAGACCGACCGGTAAACTGAGAGCTGTTGGAGAAAAGCTGCTAAAAGCAACAGAAGCAGCAGGAAACAGTTTGAATCATGAGTGATAAACAAACTATCAGCTGACACCTGGTAAAGAAATGTCAAACTAGTCAGCTAGTGTTTATTTATTGTGGCTGCCTGGTTAGTAAAATCAAAGTAAGACCATTTAAGGTAGAACTAGATAAATTGTAGTTGTTTTTTTTATTTTTAGGAAATTAGCTAGAATACATACGTATAATGATAAAAAAACAGAGTGGAGTGAGTTAAAGGGTTAATATTATATGTTTCTCAGGCATATATTTAAATACTATGCTATAATAAAGTATCTATGCCATCTTTAGCTGTTATTAAAATGCAGTTTTTATGTTTAAATAGAAAATAAGCTGTCATTGACAACAAAGGCGAAACGAAAGTCGAACCTCGGATTCAGGAAGAGCAGTGTGGTTTTCGTCCTGGTCGTGGAACACTGGACCAGCTCTACACCCTCAGCAGGGTCCTGGAGGGTG